TATATATATATATATTTATCATATCATCAGATGACATCAGATGATGCTTGCCTCGCATCATTACCCACAGTGGACACTTTGGACCTGCACGGACCGATCTGAGGATCCGGGCTCTTCACAGCCACCACGCGGGTGTGAGCCTTGTATATTTGATGGACGACTTCACAGAGTTGGCTATGCGCCGGTCTGGCGAAGAAGATCCAACCTTTCATCGCTTGAAAGAGGTCGGGACTCCAAAACAGTTTGCTGAGCAAGCTTTCCGGGTGATGAATATGACGGTCATCGCGTGCAAATCTAAGTGCAAGTCCTTCCAAGTGTCTATGTTTCTTTATTGCGGTGCTTTGCTTTTCACCACATTACAGAGCCAAACATATGTTTCCCGTCCTCTCCAGGCTTTTTGGTTTGGCGAGATAAAGATTGGATCCGACCTTCGATGCCCCCGAGATGGTCGACTGGGCTGTGCGTTGGTTGATTGGCTTCCACCAGAACATCGTCAAAGGCAGACGCATTTTATGTCATCTGACTGGCAGCCAGAGATGTTCCCATGTTCTGATCATAGTGGAACCAAAAATACTTGAAGAAACAGCAAGACTGGTACACAGGTTGGAATTTTACCACGCATGAACACAAGCTGTAACATTGACAGGAGTGTAGATGAGGTGAAGCATGGGTTTTGGGTGATGTGACACTAGCACGAAAACGTTCGAGACAACTGCAGTTCACGATGATTTTGAGGTCCTGGAGTTGGGCATATTTAGTGTCACAACTGCAGAGTGCCATGAAGATGTGGAGGAGCTTTCTGGATTTTCGCGATGCTTTTCTGATGGGTCAAACAGGTAGAGTTGGAGGTAGAATGGGTGGAATAGACGTTTCTGATCGTTTCTGTGTTGGAAGGGCAAAGCCTTCAAACAAGTTTCGGTGTTTTCACCATCCAAAGTTTCGAAAGTGAGATGTGTGCGACTTGTGATTAGAATTTGGTGTGCTCAGCCATGCCACGGATTCTTAAACCATGCTTGACCTCTTGGAATTGTTTGTTCGTCTCTCATGAGAAAATCCAAGGATTGTTTCTTCTATATGGACTTCTTTGTCAACAACCAATTCCGCATCATGGTGGAAGGATGTGCAACGAGTGGCTCAAGTGACGTTCAACAAGTACTTGAGACAACTCTTCAGCGGATTGGCCAACTGGTTGCAGTTCTTGACACCTGGAACGAACCCATCTACTTGCGAAGAGTGTGGACCGTCTACGAGCTCTTTGTCGCTTGCTCCTTGCAAGTACCTGTGACGTTCGTGATGCCTGAAGAAGCCAGCGCCTCTCGCCTTAAAGACAATGATTTGGTGCTTGCTTTTGTGCCCCAAGCCTGGTTGGGAGGACACATCAATGTTCGAAGCATGTAAGGTCTCCCTGGAAGAGCAGAGCCTTGTCTCAGAAACCCAGCACCGTTTTCACCAGTTTTCAACCTCCGGGTGATGTATAGCTGCTCTTTAAACCATGGTAAGGATCCCATCCTTGATGTTTCCACCGCACTCAGGATGTCCAGAGGAGAAGCTGGCATCAGCGAAGTCAACAACTCCCTCTATCATATTGACGTGCGCAATGCAGTAGCCTATCACGCAGCAGACGAGGACATGATAAAAATGGCGATCCTACAAACGGTACTTGAACGCAGAGGGGGAGGAGAGGTGTGGTTGCCTTCCGTTATTTTTGGGAGGAGTTGTGGTGCATCAATGGTTCATTTTGGCTCAATAATTGCTGCATCAGAGTAGCAGCTCTTGAAAGCCATGGTATGCAGAACTACTGTAGGCTAGCGGTTGATTTAAATTGCTTACCTCAGACTATAGAGCTCGGCTTCGGGGTGGTTTGCGCTTGAAGGATCCTGCTTGAAGGATCCTACAACGCATGAGAGGTGCTTCTGACCGGCCTGACCGAGGTAGGCTTTGACTATTTGAACCAGCGAGTGAAGGAAGCCTTGGTCGAGTTCGTTTCAGCTGTGGTCAGAGAGAAGTTCCAACACCTCAGCAATGAGAAGGTCTCATCCGGGTTCGGGGTTCGCGTGAATACCAATGCCATCCAATGTCCTTGACCATCTCTGAATCACGTTTGGAGAAATTCATCTATTGAGTGCATGAAGCGTGTTGCACGCCAATGGTATGTCACGCCTAGAGGCTTGAACGTTTAGTGACAGAAGCAGACAAGTTCACGAAGCAAGAACACAGGGGTTTGGCAGATTGAAACGATTCGAAGTATTATTCCGTACTTGAGAACTAGATGTGTCTAGTGTTTCTAGGTGTTTTCACAGGCATACCTTGGAGGTTTTGAATCAAATTGCATATGCGTGATCATCTCAAGTCCAGTCTTGGTGGCTTGTCATGTGAGTGAACTGGCACTGACAACAGCACTGTCGAATGAGTAGCGAGGGAAGTGAAGTCATTTTGCTCTTTACATACTACATTATTTGCCATTTGCCAGCTTGCAGACTTTCCAGGTTCATGTCGCATTCCTGAGTGGACGAAGTGTACCCTGTAGCTTGGCAATGCTGGAATGACAAGGTCTTGCTGTTTGTTGAAGCAGATACTGGCACTGATGCGTGAAATATGGTGATTCCGGTTTTCCTTTCCACTCAACTTGCTTGGCTTTACCAATTGTGGACCTTCGCTTTTTGCAGCAGAAGTGCGTCTCTCAAGGTGGCCATTGGCCAGAGCGGCGTGTGAAGGAGTTGAGAGAAGAAGCTGAGTATCTTGGATGCATTTGGTCCATTTGTTCGGGCAGCTTGATGCGGTACTGCAACTATGACACGCATGGCGGCGCTGATGATACTCCCACTGTGTCAGCCTGTGTTTCTCAGCCTTCAGCGTTTTGACTGAGGTGGAACCTTGGGTCGAAGATTTGCAAACTCATCACCAACACCGGCGAGCCATTGTGCCTTGCACGGTACAGTCTGCGTGAGTCTAAGATTTCTCGCTCCTCTTCAAGCAAGGTGCCGACCAGATAGCTTTTGCTGTACATGGGTGCCAATGGGTGAAAGGCAATGACCAACCAATCAACTTTTTGTTGATGAAGTGTGATTCGCTGAAAGGTGGCACCTTTTTCTTTCGAACAAAGATGAAAAATAACATCTGGAGTTTCAGGTGAGGACATGTTGCTGCAGTCCTTCCTGCCATTCAACAATGCATTTGATGTTTTTGAACTCATGGCCGTTTGCAGCCATTCCTCTCAGGCAAGAGCACTTGACCCTGGAAGAAGCTGGTATCAACTCCAGGAGCAATCTCACCGCCGTTGCTTGGGCATGATGGCCCAGTGTCTCGAGCGACTGTCAGGTGAAAAAATCCATGAAGATGGAATTACCTTTCCTCCTCAGCTTTGATTCATCACGGGCATCCATGTATATAAAGGAGGTAGTAGTTGAGGTTCCTATGCTCTCGTGTGAGGTGCCAACGGATCCTGACGGTCGCCATCATGCAGCACAGGCAGCAGTTAGCCCACTCGATGTTAAGCCATCCTACCGACAGAAAGAGCTGAATGACATGGTTTCATGAGGGGAGCTGGCACTTCTAGTGCACATTCACCCAGCCATTCTTCTTCTTTGAGACTCGTGATGATGCCAGGAACCTGCAAGCAGTGCCTCCCAACTTGCGGAAGGCTCTCGGAAAGAGGTTGGGAAATCGCTACTCTTTGCGCTTTCGTTGTTCTGAATTGGCTGGAACTTGTGCGAGTTCGACTGGTAACCGACCAGATAGAATGTATTATCCGGGGATCCACATACGTACCTTCTCAGAAGGTACGACTGGACCTTCCAAGAAAAGCTAAAAGTGTCTTCAATCACCTTCTCAGAGGGTGGCAGTGGATCCCTATAGGGTTACATGTCCACCCACTAATCACTTCGCTGTTTGAATTCAACACTCGTCACGTAGCTCGGTGGCACGAAGCGGTGAGCCAAGCTCACTCTGCGCTCGCCAGGAAGAGGGTGACAACGCGTACGCGAGGTTGACCGCTGTGTCGGGCTCAACCTGACTGACCCCGCTTTTCCCCATGCTTTTCCAGCGCGGAAGTGGATGAGCTTGTTGGTTGATGTGTAGAGGTCAGTTCTTTCTCATTTGATGTAAATTCAAATAAACTCAGGTCTTGACATGGCTTGACATCTCAGGTCTTGCTCATGTGTGAAACATCTCAGGTCAGTCTCTTATACATAAATCATCATAAATCAAGGACTTCTTTGCTTTGAAGTTTTTACATTTCTTGAGTATGAATTCTGAATGCTTACAATGTTTTGCTGTTCCTGACCCTTTGAGTCCAGCCCATTCTGTCAGTTTGTTTGTTTGTTTGTTTGTGGGAGTCACTGTTTAAGAACTGAGCATAAACCAAATTGGGTGTGATGAGTGATGAATTATTGTTTGTTTTTTTGCATCCTCTTCCCACCTGTCCAGCCAAGTCTCAACTCTTTGGGATGCCATTTGCGCAAGATTGATTGGGATCATGCTTGAGCCACATGTGCAAAACCACAGGTTTTATTACACATACTCCTGGGCACTGCGATGCAGTACGTCCATTTCTGACAGAACCCATGGAACGAAGAGGCCAGGTTTTGGACTAACTACTTTCCCACTAATTGTGCAGCAAGTGGGAAGGATGTTCATCTCCCTTTTTCCCGTGCCAGCCACTTGTTTGATGCAAGCTGAGAAGCAGTCATGAACATATCCATGTTGATTCATGAGCAAACCAATTGATCAGCATCATAGTTCGTGCTAGCCTCTACCATCATCATAGATAGTCGAATCACTACATAGACCAGTACCAGGTCGCTGTACAATATTGTTCAACAGTTTGTCATCACGATTCATTGTAAAATCGTCCTACCCCAAATTGGATCGTTTTGACTGATGGAAGTCTAACCCCCAATTTTGAGCTCATTTAGGCAACGGTCAGGGCATGGACGAGTTCACGGTTCGGCACGCGGATGGCGGAGCGAACGAATGCTGAGGCGGTTGAATTGGATGAAGAAATGGGACAGATGATTGTGCCGTTTCATGTGACTTGGAGTTCAAAGACATGTGTTTGTTGGATCTTTTTCTCATGTGTTTCTTTTAGTGCCTCACAACAGGGGGGATGCGAGGGTTTGGGGGGATCATTTTGAGACACGTGGGGGTGTTTCAATGATAAGGGAACATCTTCGAGTAAACCAAGCTCTTGACCTTTGGATCTTCCACAAGAAGGCCCCCCCCAAAACAAGACAAAGACCGCCACCTACAGATCACTTCGCCCAGAGTGAGCTTCCACACAAAGGCGCCTTGACGCACTCTTCCTCAAAAGATGGGAGAAAAATGGAGAAAACGAGTCTGCAGTTTGCTTCACCAAAATTAGGTTTGGGTCTCTCCAGAGTTTGGAAAGGCGAGGACACCGGTTCTTCGAGTGCCATTTCTTTTTGTTTTGCGCGCCTCTCTCTTTTTCGGTGGTTTTCGGGGACGGCGCCTCTCTCCGGCCCTAAGAAAACCACTTTTCGCTGGACCTGAGTGGGCCCAAGGAATCGGAGGCCGACTTTGAACATCTTTTCCGGCAGAAAAGCCAGATCCTCGAACGACGTGTCGCTTGGCTTCGTTTCAAACAGGGGGTAAACATTTCTTGGGGACGAGCTGGGTGCGAGGGCACTTTCTTGAGGCCTGAGGTTTTGGTTTCGAGTAATTAACGGCGTCACCCTTTCAGGAGCAGCTTGTGGACCATGACGGTCCATGATGGTCCCAAATCGTATGTATCTCGTCATGATTTCCAACTGAGAAAGAAAGGAGGTGAATCAGTGGATTCACTATTGGATTTCTTTCAGGTGATCGTTGTGATGTGTACCAGTTACATCCAACAGACATATTGGCTGTGGACAAAAGACAAGCTGGAAGTTGCCTAACACACCCTCACATGGGAACTTGGAACTTGGTGGATAAGTTTGTGAGAGGTGTTTGCGGGTTTGCTAGCAGACATGGAATTTAGTATTTTCCTCAATCAACGTCACCTTGATGTCCATCATCAAACCCGTGTTGCAGGATCAGATAGCCGGTTTCAATAATTTCAATGATTATGGACTCGGGGTTGCATAATTGACTTCTTTCATTTTT